AAATAACATAGCCCGTGCATTGCACAGGCAATAAACTAGTTTCTATGAGAAGCACTCAGTAAATTAACAAAGATTTAGATGCTTTCTATGACGATTGCGCAACTATAATAAAAAGTAAACACCAAATTGCTTATCGAAACCATCTTGCTATTCGAGCAAAATGTTGAGAACCATTACTGCAATTTTCCCAACATATAACCCCAAAAGTGACAAGAAAGAATGGAATTAACATGTGGAAAGAGTTGCACCAAACAAGAACTTGTAATCTACCTGCCTGCCTGTCTTTAAATTATTCACTCGATCATAATTTTTCTCTAAAGAACTATGCACAAATGGGAACATTTATGTACATGGTAATAACATTGTAATAACTCTGGCTCAAGATCCTATAGTACTCTGAGATGTATGTACTCGGTGACACCATATTTACTGCACAGATGCTGCAAAAATCCAGTCCATGTCCTCCCGGAACAGTTTTGCGTCAAGAAATGGATTCGTAAGCCCAAAAGGTATCGGGGTCAGGGCTGAAGAGAGAGAAATCTCTGACTTCTAAATTTGCTATGTGCCAATCGACAAATCGAGCTTGAACTGCCTTGAAGAGTAGCAGGATGGTGGGCAAAAGCCACCATGTCTCATCCTCCCTGCCATTACAAGAAATTTAATTCTTCATAATTTACCAAAAAAACTATAGCGCCTGAACCCCAGTTCCGAGGACGCTAGGAAGTTTAATCTACAGGATTTTGTAACTTAGGCCATGTTTGAGCTACATTATTTTTTTTCATTCTCATTCTTCTACTTATTTTTAACCACACATTCTTCAATAAAATAATATTTTCTATCACATCAATAACTTTTCTTTATTTTTCAATCACATATTCCCCATCACATCAAATTTTTCATTCTCATTCTTCTACTTATTTTTGACCACACATTCTTCAATAAAATAATATTTTCCATCACATCAATAACTTTTCCTTCTTTTTCAACCACATATTCCCCATCACATCAACAGTAAAAATGCATTCTTTTTCCAAAAATGTGCACCAAACGGGGGCTTAGAAAGGGTTGAAGAAACTGGCCGGAGGGCTGTTGTTCTGCTATATTAGTTTTGAGAAGCTTATGAATTTCTTGCCTAGTCCAATTTCATACTTTACTACCTAACCTTAATGCTTTAAGAATAGGACACTAAAATTATTCGTTGTAAGCATATGCAATTTCAGAATCATACAAATCCACCAAAATTCAGCCTCGTGAAATCTTTAGTCTACTCTTAGTTCCGTTTCTTGATACTAATAATCCAACTAGTTATTCAAATTTTAATATCTATTTCTGCAGTTTATTTTCACATATTAAACAAGCATAATATCTTTAGTTAGGGCTTGCGCCTTCTAATCAGCCGAAATCCCAGGAAAAATTAAACATGACGATTGGTTTTGTACATTGTGCACACGGAAGTTCTGAACTCGATTGCCCTTGAAACTGTGTTGTATAATAAAGTGCAACTCACTTTATAAAATTCCAAATGTTGCTCTCTCCAGGCTGCTTCGAGGAGGAAATTCCATTATGAATTAAGCCACATAAAAATGCCACAGCCTGCAAAAAGCAACAAATTTACCAAACAAAAAGCCAAGCAATTAGTCATTGAGGGTAACAGTGGAAAAACACATCTCTCACAACGTTTTTTTTTTAAATATAGGTACTAAAACCTTTACTTGCACTACAAACAATTGATCAGCACATTCATAAGATAATTTATATTGATTTATATGGCTTTCACAATCTAACACTGAAACACAATAGAATGCATTTAGATAATTTCTAGTTTAGAAAAATAATTTAAACAATGCTTAGGAAGTTAACTAAAAAGGTCAAACAGCCAAGCCCCATAGGAAATGGGAAAAGTATATTAGCTAGTGTTTTTAGGAATTTTATTGCCAAATTTCACTTTGATTAAACAAATGCAGATGTTATACTTCATATCATTGTTGGCATGTTTAGCAGGGAGGATAGGATATGACTGGACACTATTACAGAAGAAAAAGATGCAGAAATTTGTTTGTTATATTGTCCAGTCTTGTCGAGTTCAGCATACCAAAATACACAGCACATTAAAGTATCTACTTACAATGTTCGATATGGAGCTAATGCTCCATAAAGCATAAATACGAGCAAGTGCAGCTCTTCGAGGCCCATTACTGAATAAGGCGTTCAAGCCTGCTAGAAAGGGTGAAAGCAATGACAGAGGAAGGATGAGAAGAACGGCTAGGAAAGCACCGAGGGATATCCAATAGAACAGAAAGAGCATAAGGAGAGTGACAAAGAGGTCTGCCAAGAGTACGATAGTGATAAAAAGCTGTACAGTTTCCTGAAACACAGCAGTAAAAGATTAAATAATGAACATCATTCCAACAAGCATGTCAAAGAGAGTTCTTGAGTACCTGTCGACCAACAGGGCGAGTATTATGCAATAAAAGAGAAAATGGGAAAAGATAGTTCCTTCTGTAGCCCAATAATTTCAAGGTAGATTCATCTATCAAACCACCATTGCTGCCACCAGTAATCTTTTTGCGGGATAATGCATTACTTGTATAGGTATGGCTCTCCGATGGATGCCTAACATTACTTTGTACTATTGCAGCAACTTTCCTGAAAGTACAATTTTTTTTGTGAGTTGGGGAAGGGGAAGGGGGGGGGGGGGGGGGGGGGGGGAAAAAAA